GCGGCGAGGAGGCCGGCGTTACCAACAATTGCCCAAGCTCTGCGGTTTTCTCCATATACAATATTTTTGTGTGCCAATTAATGCATTGGCAGTGGCGCGCAAATACAAACAACAAACGCCACGGAATCCTTCTGCGCAGCACGTGAAGGATTCGTTGCGGATTCGATCTCCTTAACATTACGTAGGGCGTGTATAGTCACCATCAGGAGCGTGTAACGGACTTGGGCGACGATTGCGAGACCGACCCTCTGGCCGTGATGGCTGCTGATGCGTTCCTTTTGGCGCGCGCTCCAAGTGGCCGCTTGGGCAACAACAAAAATCCTTCAATGACATTTCCGCTTCGCTCACGTCAACACAGAGCGCAGGCGACAGGAAAATATCACTCGAGGTAGGCGATTATGCAACCGGCCACTGCCTGCATTACTCCCCCGTGCCCTTATCGCGCGGAGCCATCTCCACTAAGGGACGTAACATCATTAACAAGTCTGACACGTGGTTACAGAACGTGTGTGTGTGTATGTATAACACGCGGCAAGATATAATCATAAACAAGCTTTGACCATCATCATCTTCTTTTCGTCCGGGCTGTAATTCTCTAGAGCGACGGCGTTGTGCGAGTGACCGGCACGCCACGCGAACATCGCGACGCATCCGGCCGATTTTAGGGCAATCGTCGCCGCCGATCGTCACGCGGAAACCGGTGGCCGCAAACCGGTTTCTATTGTCGATTGTAGAGTGGCTCGGACGTCAGCAAGTCTGATCGCTGCCCTCCCCCGGTGGAGAACTCGCCGTGGCGACTCTCGGTCAGCAAAGAGTTGGCACGGCTACACCGAGTTTGCGTGCCCAAGATATGATTCGTAAACCAGCTTAGGGGCCGTCCATAAATGACGTCACGCGATTTTTGACGATTTTTGACCAATATATGATTCGTAAACCAGCTTAGGGGCCGTCCATAAATGACGTCACGCGATTTTTGATGATTTTTGACCCCCCCCCCCCCGCCAGTCACACGGCGTCACAAAAAGTCAGACCCCCCCTCAAATATGACGTCACAATGCTCTGCCCCCCCCCCAAATAAAACATGCTTAAAATCGCTTTAAACTATTGTCATTGTAGTGCGTATTTAATGTGGCGCTGCACTCTGATGTTGCAGGAGAAAACATTTATTAAAAAGTATATTTAATTAAGTAGAACGTGTTGTCTATATTTATTTAAAGTTGCGCATTTTGATTTTGATGTGACGTCACATTTATCAAACCCCCCCCCCTCATCATCACACATCGTCACAAATGTCCCCCCCCTAGGTGCGTGATGTCATTTATGGACGGCCCCTTAGCTCGTGGCTAGATGCAACTAAGTGGCTCGGCGATGACATCCATGACCACAACGCGTTAGTTTCACAGAGCGTCACGCACTTTGCATCTCGCAACGCTTTTTTGCTTTACAAATTTGTAACGCGCGGAGGAGCCGCAGACGAGAGGGAAGGCAGCAGCGGCGACGAGCCCGGCGCTCCGAACAATTGCCCAAGATTTGGGGCCCATGATGTATTAAGATGTGTTCAGCTAATCGACGCGTATTCGTGCACGTGGGAGGGGAACCGGAGTAGCCTGAGAAATCGACTCGTGCGAGGGGGCAACACTCGATCCTGCACAGATGGACCGGATTGACGCTTGTCCGCATTCCGCTCTGTCGCCTTCTGCCGGCGAGCCGGGGAACGTTCGCGTGATCCACCAACCCTCGCCTCCCCCCGCCGCCCGGCAATTTCTCGTGACAAGCCGACGTGGTTGCCGGTGACGGGTTGCCTTAAAAGTGCTCTCGTTTTTTGTCGACAAACATAAAAAAAAACCACTGCACCTGGACGCCCACGGTGATTTATCACGGCGTTCGGTCTTCACCATGCCGCCATCCGGTCACTCGCTGGCTCACGAAATACACCCAATTGAAGCGCGCTAGATACAATAATATATATTGCGATACATGATGGAGCGTAAATGTTTGAAGCGAGCTTCTAGAGATGAGTTAGTGGCTGCGAAGAGCTGGGGAACGGGCGCCGTTCCCACGTGATCCCCACGGCACTAGCTGAGGGCACTTGTCGAACTGTGGGCTAAGGCACTGGCCTGCGTGTGGCAGCGCCCAGGCAGCCTCATCAATCCCCTCCTCAACACCATCCTCATCTTTTGATTTAAAGCTTTCGTGACTGCAGGGATTCATATTCTTGGTTCTTTCGGTAAAGTCACGTAGAAGGGAAATAATAAAACAATAAAAAATTCTCACGACGTTTCGACTGCAACACAAGTAACCTGATGATAATTGCTTGTGTTGCAGTCGAAACGTGATAATTTTTTACTGTTTTATTATTTTATTATTTCCCTTCTACGTGACTTTACCGAAAGAACCAAGAATACCATTCTCATCCTCAACATCATCCTCACACCATCCTCATCCTCAACACCATCCTCATCCTCAACACCATCCTCATCCTCAACACCATCCTCATCCTCAACACCATCCTCATCCTCAACACCATCCTCATCCTCAACACCATCCTCAACATCATCCTCATCATCAACACCATCCTCATCCTCAACATCATCCTCATCATCAACACCATCCTCATCCTCACATCATCCTCATCATCAACACCATCCTCATCCTCAACACCATCCTCAACACCATCCTCATCCTCAACACCATCCTCATCCTCAACACCATCCTCATCCTCAACATCATCCTCAACACCATCCTCATCCTCAACATCATCCTCAACACCATCCTCATCCTCAACATCATCCTCAACACCATCCTCATCCATAACACCATCCTCATCCTCAACACCATCCTCAACATCATCCTCAACACCATCCTCATCCTCAACACCATCCTCATCCTCACATCATCCTCAACACCATCCTCATCCTCAACACCATCCTCATCCATAACACCATCCTCATCCTCAACACCATCCTCATCCTCAACATCATCCTCACACCATCTTCATCCTCAACACCATCCTCATCCTCAACACCATCCTCATCCATAAAAAAATCATCCTCAACACCATCCTCATCCTCAACATCATCCTCATCCATAAAAAAAATCATCCTCAACACCATCCTCATCTTCAACACCATCCTCATCCTCAACACCATCCTCATCCTCAACATCATCCTCAACACCATCCTCATCCTCAACATCATCCTCATCCTCAACATCATCCTCAACACCATCCTCATCCTCAACACCATCCTCATCCCCAACACCATCCTCAACATCATCCTCATCCTCAACACCATCCTCAACACCATCCTCAACATCATCCTCATCCTCAACACCATCCTCAACATCATCCTCATCCTCAACACCATCCTCATCCTCAACACCATCCTCATCCTCAACATCATCCTCATCACCATCCTCAACATCATCCTCATCCTCAACACCATCCTCAACACCATCCTCATCCTCAACACCATCCTCATCCTCAACACCATCCTCATCCTCAACACCATCCTCATCCTCAACATCATCCTCATCCTCAACATCATCCTCAACACCATCCTTATCCTCAACACCATCCTCATCCTCAACACCATCCTCATCCTCAACATCATCCTCAACACCATCCTCATCCTCAACACCATCCTCATCCTCAACACCATCCTCATCCTCAACACCATCCTCATCCTCACACATCCTCATCCTCAACACCATCCTCATCCTCAACACCATCCTCATCCTCAACACCATCCTCATCCTCAACACCATCCTCAACACCATCCTCATCCTCAACACCATCCTCATCCTCAACACCATCTTCATCCTCAACACCATCCTCATCCTCAACACCATCCTCATCTTCAACACCATCCTCATCCTCAACACCATCCTCATCCTCAACACCATCCTCATCCTCAACACCATCCTCATCCTCAACATCATCCTCAACACCATCCTCATCCTCAACACCATCCTCATCCTCAACACCATCCTCATCCTCAACACCATCCTCATCCTCAACACCATCCTCATCCTCAACATCATCCTCAACACCATCCTCATCCTCAACACCATCTTCATCCTCAACACCATCCTCATCCTCAACACCATCCTCATCTTCAACACCATCCTCATCCTCAACACCATCCTCATCCTCAACACCATCCTCATCCTCAACACCATCCTCATCCTCACATCATCCTCAACACCATCCTCATCCTCAACACCATCCTCATCCTCAACACCATCCTCATCCTCAACACCATCTTCATCCTCAACACCATCCTCATCCTCAACATCATCCTCAACCTCAACACCATCCTCATCCTCAACATCATCCTCAACACCATCCTCCTCTTCAAGCTCTGCAGCTACCAAACCTCCACGATGTTTCCCATCTCTAAACAAGGCTGCCCGGGCCTTATCTCATTATTCTCTTCCTCCTGCATCACGTGCACCGTAACCTCCTCAACCTCTTCACCGGCAAACCTCCCTATGAAGCATTGTTTAGTGTTACTGCTGCTGCTGCTGCGTTTGGCAGTGGCGCACAAGCAAAAATGACAACTCAACAGCTCAACAACACGATAGCTTTACAATGACGAGTACTGTACACACTAGGCGACATTTGGGGCGATGGCCCTTCTTTCGTCGCACACGAGGAGAGAGGCCGGAGAGTCGGAGTACACCACGTGATTATTCTTTGGGTCTTCTGGTAAAGTCACGTAAATAGGTTCAAATTAATGAAAAATAAAATAAACAAAATCTCGGACGTTTCGATGACAACACAAGCGAGTCAAGATTTACACCCACGTGAGTTGGAGACCGCACGTCACGGCACGGGGTCTGAAAAGAATGCCAACTTTTTTGTGTATGTGTCCTGACGTATAGCCTTGCATGTGCATGGTTAACCATTACGAGCTGTTGAGTAAAAGACAATCCCTTCCATAGTCAGAAATTGTTACCAAATAACATATTTGTATTAAACGTATAAGGTGACGCTGACACGTTGCATCATTGGTAGAATTGTTTCTGAGGTGAATACATAATCCACGTAACGATTGTATTCCTGGGCCCAATTCTCCACCCTCCCCATGCTCCCCAGATTCCTGAACCTCTTCAATATTTTCCAAGCCCACTCATAATGAATCTCCAATCACATGTTCTCTTTGCACCTCTTCCACAACCCACTCATACATCTCATTCTCAACCCCTTCATCATCCTGCACCTCATAACCACTCAGCTCCCTAAATAAATTGTGGGAACAATTACCACGCATTAGTTGTTCCCTGATTGTATACATCGGTCCATAATCGACGTGTGTCATTGTTGTTGTTGTTGTGATGTGTGATGCTATCGTTTTGTTAAGTTCCTCGTCGCCGGAATGCAATTTCATGGTGGGGGTGATCCAGAAGTTGGCAGTGCCCCACCACTCTCAACTCTTCTTTGCTGAAGCCGCAGTCTCCCACGGGGCCACGCAGGAGCATCTCAGGGGGCAAGGCCGAGAACTCTTGCTCCCTCTCTCTCTCCCTTTCAGGGCAAGCCCAGAGGCCCCCTGCTGTCTCGCTCAGGCGTGGGACGTGACTGCGAGGGGAGACGCGAGGCCAGGTTGAGACCTCCCTTTCGCCTCAGGCGTCACCACCGCGCGCAGCCTCTGTGGGCACACGGACACTCAGGGTCATGGCTGGAGTCTCACAGGGGCAAGGGCAGCATTTCACAACCAGCAGAGTCGGGGTCTACGAGGGGGCAAGGTGGGGTTATTTCAAGGGTAAGGCTAAGAGGTGTCAGGGCCAAGGCAACGGACAAGGTTGTGGTCATCTTCTTGGTTCTTTCGGTAAAGTCACGTAGAAGGCAAGTAATGAAATAATAAAAATAAAACATAATAAAATAATTCTCACGACGTTTCGGCCACAACGCAAGCAGCCGTCCTCAGGTGAAGACCAGTGTCTGAACGCTGTCTCCCCGACAGACACTGGTCTTCACCTGAGGATGGCTGCTTGCGTTGTGGCCGAAACGTCGTGAGAATTATTTTATTATGTTTTATTTTTATTATTTTATTACTTCCCTTCTACGTGACTTTACCGAAAGAACCAAGAAGATGAATCCCTGCAGTCACGAAAGCTTTAAATCGAAATTCAAGGTTGTGGTCCTAGCCGCAAGGCTGGAGTCTGAGGGGCAAGGCTGTAATCTCGGGGCCCATGTCCCGTGTGTTCGTCGTGGCCTGGTTCCAGTCCTTTACTGCGTTTCCGTGTTTGTAAGTGGAAGGAATTACTCAACTCGTACCAATGAACACAATCATTCTGTTATTCCTCAAATCGCATCGCCTGTTAAGTGTGCTTGTTCTCAAAGTAGTACAGGCGTGGGTAAATATTTGTCTGAGTCTTGAGCGCGATAATTTTTTTTCCAGGGAAGTGATTTCTTATTTATTTGTCCTAATCATTCTAAACGGGGGTTTTTTTTTCCTAATACGATAAAATGCCGCTTGTTTGAGAAAGTAAATCTGAAACGGTGGTGACTCTAAGGTCCATTAGACTGGAGACCCTGATATGGGGGGGTGGGGGGGCATTGATATCTACAACCGCAGTGTACGACTCCACGAACGGTGCTGAGACTAAGATCAGACCCTGCCAGTCAGTCACGAGTGGCCGACTGCTGTGGAATCTGGCAGGTGGAAGCCATGGCGGTGGAGGTATCGATGGTGGCCTTTTTTTTACTTAAACTTAAAAGCCCCAAAGCGTGAGTTGGTGGGGTACGCTTGTGACACCGCTGCCCATTCGTGTGGGCCGCACTGACCACCACCACCACCACGGCCACGGAATCGCCCAGTGCTGCGCCACTATCAGCTGCCACCACCAACACGGCGGGAGGTGTCTTCATGAGCGCGTTCGTGCGTTGCGCCCAAGGGGGCGATAAGAGCGGGGAATGGGTCGCGATAAGCGGCGGCTCTGTCAAATGGGGGAAGTTGTGGTGACCCGGGCAGGGCGGCTCCACTCGTTTTAATAATAATAATATTGTGGTCGTCTATTTACCCTGGACAGCCTCGACGGAAACCTCGTTCTTTTGTCTTCAGGAAGGTCACGGCATCGGAGTGCTTGGTCACCTCGTTATTGAGTGCTTTGCGTGTGGCAGGAAACCGTGGCACGCTGCTCATGAAAAAAAAAACGAATTCCGATCCGCGAATAACATTCACCGTTGCACCCACAGATTGTGGAAACATGAACCGACTTGCTGTGCTGCCTTCTATTTGGCCGCATAGACATCCAGTGTGTTTTGGAGGTCTCACCAGATTGGCGATTTCTGCGTGATCCACCAACCCTGGCTACTCCACGTGGGTCCCCTAGGCTGCTGGACTACCACACTCAACAAATAACGAGGTCCCGGTCAACCCTGACCTTCACTCTTAACCATGACCCCGACTCTGCCTATGATGGCAACACAGACCCCCAATCCCAACCACAACCTCTTACAAGAATCTGACCTCGACTGCTCAGCTGAATCTGACCCCTCGGCCGACCCCGTCCCCTCACCTGCCGCAGTGTGCCGGGCGCGCGGACCAGCGCGTAGATCATGTAGAGCGGCACGCACACGAAGGAGGAGGCCGACACCACGTAGCCCACGGAGATGCTCCACGGGGGGAACGCGTAGTCAAAGAGTCGCAGCTGCGGAGTCGTCAGCAGGAAGCTCAAGCAGATTAGCTGCGGAGAGAGCGATGGAGATCGGGGAGCGAGCGGGGAAGAGTCGGGGGAAAGGGGGCGAGAAGCAGAGTTTAAAAATGTTAATAAAAAAAATAAAATAAAAATTACGAAATGATGAACGAAGCAAAGTGCCGAATACCACGAGCATCTTATTGTTTCCACTGATCGTAAAAAAAAGAGAAGGGAGAGATACGGAAGGGCAGAGAGGGGACAGCTCACGAGGAAGATCTCGCATCCTCGCAGAAGGAAATCTGCACGGACGAGGTCTATGGCTGATCATCATTCTCATATCTCAGAATCTATAACTGTATTGCCTTCTCGCACCACACGTCGACGTTTAGAATTGGTTACTGATTTTAAAAAAACGAAGTGATCTCAGAATCAACGACAAAAAATGATAAACCTCGTTAAATATAAAATAACACTCAAAACCAAGACCCAACAGTCTTCAAGAAGGATATCTCGGCTCCAGGCGTATTTTGGAAGCTGTAGCAGGTGAGTTAAAACATGACATCGGGTGGTTTGAGAACCTCTTCCAGGTGTGTTGATAATAATCTTCATAAAAATATTGAATTCTACCACAAAATGTGTTGAAATATTCTCCGAGTGAACAGGGCGGTGTTCTTCATTGTAAGACCCGCGGGCCACTTGCAACCTCCAATGGTTTCAAACGTGTGGCAGCCCTCACACTGATGGTGTCTCATCAACTCTGAAAATGAGTGCATAAGACCGGACTAGGATATTTTCATAAGCGCGTGTCGTAGAGGAAACATGTACCAGGTGAGTGCACCTGATGTGTGGAACTCACGGAGAGGAAGATGGGGGAGAACGCCGCCCAGCACACCTGCCAGAACAAGCCGGGCGTGAAGCCCAGCATGTCCTTAATGTCGGACGAGAACCGCCTGACACCTGCGGAGCGGACAGGTGGGTCAGGCGCGAGGCTGTATACACACCCCGGTCAATACGAAGACAAACATTCCCCGCGTAGCCTTCACGCACTGTTGGGGCAAGTGCTGTTGCCGAGCACCTATATGAAGGTCCTGCACGGCGCACGAGGGGGTGGTGTGATCGGCACACCGCGCTCGGCCGCCTTACACACACAAGGCAAAGATCCCCCGTATAGCCTGTACAGACTGTTGGGGCAAGTGCTGTTAGCAAGCACCTATGAAGGCCGGCACGGTACACGAGGGGGTGGGTGGCCAACACCACGCCCAGCCGCTTTTGTTTCCCCAGTGGCGATGTTTACACACCACACCAGTTACACAGTTACGGCTGAATCGACCTAGGGGAGGCCCATGACGGGTTCAGATAATCGTCACTGGTGTTTGCTTTGAGCGGGAATCGAACTCGCCGGGTTCGCAGCGTAGCGCGCTAACCGCTAGACAGCCGCTCCCCACACACACACAGACACACACACGTTCTCCACACACACACAGAGACACACACAGACACACACGCTCCCCACACACACACACAGACACACACTGAGACACACACAGAGATACACACAGACACACACGCTCTCCACACACACACAGACACACACACAGACACACACGTTCTCCACACACACACAGACACACACAGACACACACGCTCTTCACACACAGAGACACACACGCTCTCCACACACACACAGACACACACCCTCTCCACACACACACAGACACACACGCTCCACACACACACAGACACTCACAGACACACACACTCTCCACACACACACACACAGACACACAGAGACACACACCCTCTCCACACACACACAGACACACACAGACACACACGCTCTTCACACACACAGACACACACAGACACACACCCTCTCCACACACACACACACAGACACACACAGACACACACCCTCTCCACACACACACACACAGACACACACAGACACACACAGACACACACGCTCTTCACACACACAGACACACACAGACACACACCCTCTCCACACACAGACACACACAGACACACACAGACACACACGCTCTTCACACACACAGACACACACAGACACACACCCTCTCCACACACACACACACAGACACACACAGACACACACAGACACACACAGACACACACGCTCTTCACACACACAGACACACACAGACACACACGCTCTCCACACACACACACACAGACACACACCCTCTCCACACACACACAGACACACACAGACACACACGCTCTTCACACACATAGACACACACGCTCTGCACACACACACAGACACACACCCTCTCCACACACACACAGACACACACAGACACACACAGACACACAGAGACACACATGCTCTCCACACACACAGACACACACAGACACACACAAACACACACGCTCTCCACACACACACACACAGACACACATAGACACACACAGACACACACAGACACACACGCTCCCCACACACGCACACACACACAGACACACACAGACACACACATGCGCGCGCAGGTGCACACAGGCGGCCCATCATCTAAGACGCCACTCTGGATATTGCAGCTGGTGTGTGACGCGGCAGGTTGACTGAGTGCGGATATCAGGGGTCACGCCGTCTGGGGTCCGGATGAAAAGGGATGGGGTACGGGTAGGCACAGGGGCCAGGGAGAAGAAGTGGGGGAGGAGTGAGGATGGAGAAAGGGGGATCAGGAGGGGGGTGGGTGGGGGGGGGGTGTCCGTGCCGTAGAACCAGGAGACTGCGATGGACTCGAACAAAACCACAGCGATGATGGCCACTCCGGTGCCAAACTCCTCCAGCAGTTTCACCACATAGGCGCCTCCCTGGCCACACAGCACAGCGCGCATAGCATGCCGCGTGTAACAAAGCACGCGTAGCATGGCCCATACAGCACACCGCGCAAAGCGAATCACGCACAGCACACGACGCAAAGCGAATCACGCACAGCACACGAGGCATAGCGTAGCACAGCGCACTACGCATAGCGCCCCCACGCACAGCACGCAGAGTACGCGTAGCACAGCACTCCCCCCCAACGCCCCGTATCGAACTCTACCACCTCGGTCACAGTTTGATTTTAAACTGGCGATTATTTACGATGACTTCGTTTGACATCAAGATGATACGCTCCTCCGATTAAATCTCAGTACGATAGTCACCCTGCACCTGCTTTCATGTTTACATAATTCCTTCTGGTAGTTGTACCATGATCAGTCTAAAAATAATCTTGCCGAGCCGATTTGCGCTGCAGGGAGTGCAATCGTTAACTCGCGTCTCACATCCATTTGTGTCTGCGCAATGCTTTCAATGTACCACGCGATGCGGTTGTTGTTTTTTGTCGCTATTTCTATTGACTTCACTCTTTTTGGTGACCGAGGTCTCCATCTGAACGCTTACTCCACCTCAAGCCTCAAGACAGGCCACTCTACACACAGCACGCGCATCACGCGGAGCGGGCCACGTCTCGCCCCGCGTCAACGCGCAAAGTACATCATGTACCGCGCGCAGCACACAACAACCACGCATAGACCATCACGTCCCCATGCACAGCGCCACGCATAGACCATCACGTCTCGTGCACAGCGCCACGCATAGACCATCACGTCCCCATGCATAGCGCCACACATAGTACACCACGTGACGCGGGCAGCACCACCACTGTTAGTGCGTAGGCCACCTTCATTCATGCGCGGTTACTCAGCGAGATTCACCTGCGCGAGGGTGACTCGGTCTCACCTGCGTGAGTTCATGACCGACCTGTGGAATTGAGACTCTCACCTGCGTGAGCGTGACACACTCACCTGAGCGAGCGTGAGACTCACCTGAACGAGTGAGACACTCACCTGCGTGAGCGTGACACACTCACCTGCGCGAGACACTCACCTGAGCGAGTGAGACACTCACCTGAGCGTGAGACTCACCTGAGCGAGCGTGAGACTTTCACCTGAGCGAGCGAGACACTCACCTGAGTGAGACACTCACCTGCGTGAGACACTCAACTGCGTGAACGTGAGACACTCACCTGAGCAAGTGAGACACTCACCTGAGTGAGTGAGACTCTCACCTGAGTGAGACACTCACCTGAGCGAGACACTCACCTGCGTGAACGTGAGACACTCACCTGAGCGAGAGTGAGACTCTCACCTGCGTGAGCGTGAGACTCTCACCTGAGCGAGTGAGACACTCACCTGAGTGAGACACTCACCTGAGCGAGCGAGACACTCACCTGAGTGAGCGTGCTCAGCGAGCCCAGGAAACAGGTGAACACCACGAGGAGCAGGAGGAGCCCGCGGCGCCGCGAGAACACACGGGGGAACTCGTCGGTCACCGCCGTGACGATCGCCTCCAGCCCTCCGAACTACACACGTCGTCGCCAACGTCACCGCCATCAGCCGTCATCTATCCACTGCTGGATGAAGGCCTCCACAAGCGGCCGCCGCCTCTCACGGCCACGCAACGCAACCGGTCCGCGTGCCACCTTTGCACGCGAGCCGATCGCATCGTCGTCGACGTTCCACCTCCGAGACGGGCGGCATCCTCTGGCTACCCCTCGTGAGCAGTGCCGGACTAAGAAGCTAGTGCGCGGGCCTGTAGCACATGTTATAAAGGGGCCCTAAATAAAAAAAATATAACACGTAAATATTAAAACAAATAAATGTTGAACTTGCATAGTAAAGTAGTTGTGTTTTTGCATTTGCTATACAGCCAGATCATACGACAAATCGCTAACCTTAAACACCCAGTCGTTCGTAAAAGTCGAAGGCGGTCCAGTACTATAGTAATAGAGCAAGTGCAGAATCACTGAACCGGAATTGATAGCTTGAAAGCATTTAGCGCGGGGCCCTTGAAAGTACGGGGCCCGTAGCTACTACTACTACTACATGTGTAGTTACTACAACATGTGTAGCTACTACTACTACTACATGTGTAGTTACTACTACAACATGTGTTGCTACTACATGTGTAGCTACTTGTGCGCCCGTGTGGTGCCCTTCCGAGCAGCGAGTGCGATGGCGCTGACGGTCGCGGCGCTCCGCCCGCTCGCTCGTGCGACGCGCCGGCCTCCGCAGGCGGGCGCTACTCGCGGGCACCGCGTTGCTTCACAGTCCGTAGGGCTACACGGTGGACCTGTGTCTGCGTGCGTGTGCGCCATAGCAGGTGATGTGCATATGGTGTCGAACCAGGGTCAGGTGAAGTCAGGTGAGGTGATCTGAGTTGAGTTGGAGGTCAGGTGAGGTGAGGTTGAAACACCAAAGTGAAACCTTTTACGAGGAATCGTGGTCTGCATTAAGCACAATGCTTGTGGTCAGAATGCACACAAAAACAAACTGTGATCATAGACCAGAGGACGCCAAAAGGCCAAAAGGCGTCCTCTGGTCTAACACCGTTTGAGACTAGGCTCAAAAGAAAGCTGTCTCTGGTGTGGACCAGTCAGTTTCAAGGACAATGCATATATTATCAGAGTACGTTTTTTGTTTGCATTCTGACCACAGCATTGTGGTGAATGCAGCAACATGATTCCTTGTAAAAGGTTTCACTTTGGTATTTTAACATCCTAACACAACTGTTTTGTTGCCAGAAAAAAGGGGAAAAAAACCTGTGATCATATTTTGGTACTGGCAAAGAAGGTCCCATGATGAGGTGAGGTTAGTTGAGGTGAGTCAGGTGAGTTGCGTTGAAGTGCGGCAAGGTGGAGGTGAGTCGGGTGAGGTGTTTGAAGTGAGTGAGCTGAAGCGAGGTGAGTTCAGATGGAGGTCAGGTGAGGTGAGGTTAGTTGAGGTGTTTGAGGTGAGTGAGGTGAGGTGATGGGGGGGAACCCGCGTCGCACCGTGCTGTCCAGCCCCAGGGTGACCATCATGATGAAGAAGATGACAGCGAAGAATGGCGCGCCGGGCATCGTGGCGATCGCCTCGGGGTAGGTGATGAAGAGAAGGCTCGGGCCTGCGGGGGAGGGAGTGGGGCGTCCATTACTCGACTGGGGGGGGGGGGGGTGGTACCCACAGGTGAGCCCCCCCCCCCCCACTGTGCCCCCACGAGGGGAGGGGGAAGCGCCGAGAATGAAACCACCCACAAACCATCCCCTCTCATCCCCTCTCATCCCTCTCATCCCCTCTCATCCCCTCTCATCCCCTCTCATCCCTCCTCCTGTCGCATCGCCTCAGCTGGCGGTGGTGGAGGTAGTGGTGAATCGTGGTGGAGGGTTAGGTGTGGTGGAGGGTAAGTGGTGGTGGTGGTAGTGGAGGTGGTGGAGGTGGTGAAGGGTTATGTTTAGTGGTGTGGTGGTGGAAGTGGTGGTGGTGGAGGTGATGGTGGAGGTGGTGGTGGTGGAGGTGGTAGAGTTGATGGTGGTGGAGGTGATGGTGGAGGTGGTGGTGGTGGAGGTGATGGTGGTGGAGGTGGTGGTGGAAGTGGTGGTGGTAGAGGTGATGGTGGAGGTGGTGGTGGAGGTGATGGTGGTGATGGTGGTGGTGATGGTGGTGGAGGTGGTGGAGGTGATGGTGATGGTGGTGTTGGAGGTGGTGGTGGTGATGGTGGTGGAGGTGGTGGTGGAGGTGGTGGTGGAGGTGATGGTGGTAGAGGTGTGGTGATGGTGGTGGTGGTGGTGATGGTGGTGAGGGTGGTGGTGGTGGTGGAGGTGGTGGTGGAAGTGGTTGTAGAGGTGGAGGTGATGGTGGAGGTGGTGGAGGTGATGGTGGTGGAGGTGGTGGTGATGGTGGTGGAGGTGGTGGTAGTGGTGGAGGTGGTGGAGGTGGTGGTGGAGGAGGTGATGGTGGTGGTGGTGGTGGTGGTGATGGTGGTGAGGGTGGTGGTGGTGGAGGTGGTGGTGGAAGTGGTTGTAGAGGTGGAGGTGATGGTGGAGGTGGTGGAGGTGATGGTGGTGGAGGTGGTGGTGATGGTGGTGGAGGTGGTGGTAGTGGTGGAGGTGGTGGAGGTGGTGGTGGTGGAGGAGGTGATGGTGGTGGAGGTGGTGGTTGAGGAGGTGATGGTTGTGGAGGTGGTGGTGGTGATGGTGGTGGTGATGGTGGTGGAGGTGGTGGTGGAGGTGGTGGTTGTGGAGGTGGTAGTGGAGGTGGTATTGGAGGAGGTGGTGGTGGTGGTGGGTGGAGGTGATGATGGTGGTGGTAGTGGAGGAGGTGGTGGTGGTGATGGTGGTGGAGGTGGTGGTGGTGGTGGAGGTGGTGGTGGAGGTGGTGGTGGAGGTGATGGTGGAGGTGGTGGTGGTGGTGGAGGTGATGGTGGCGGAGGGGGTGGAAGTGGTCGTGGTGGTGATGGTGGTGGAGGTGGTGGTGGAGGTGATGGTGGTCGTGGTGGTGGTGGAGGTGGTGGTGGAGGTGATGGTGGTGGAGGTGGTGGAAGTGGTGGTGGTGGTTGTGGTGGAGATGATGGTGGTGGAGGTGGTGGTTGAAGTGGTGGTGGAGGTGGTGGTGGAGGTGGTGGTGGAGGTGATGGTGGCAGAGGGGGTGGGAAGTGGTCGTGGTGGTGATGGTGGTGGAGGTGGTGGTGAAGGTGATGGTGGTGGTGATGGTGGAGGTGGTGGAGGTGATGGTGGTGGAGGTGGTGGAAGTGGTGGTGGTGGTGGAGGTGATGGTGGTGGAGGTGGTGGTGGTGTAAGTGGTGGAGCTCTCGCCAATGTTCTTCGCCACGTCCTCCACCTTCTCGCCGCGCCTCTCCGCCATGTATCCCAGCACAGTGAAGATGACGAAGCCCGAGATGAAACTCGTGGCGCAGTTGATGGAGCTGGTCACAATCGCGTCCCTACGCAGCACAGGGACACGGGTGGGGGGGGGGGGGGGCAGTCGCGTCGATTGTGGTTGTCGCGGTTCGTGTCTGCGTTCGGCGCAGGTGTGTTGCGACTCGCACCTGTACAGGTTGTTGTGGAAGGGGTTGTAGCTCGCCAGCGCCAACAAAACCCCGAAGCCGGGGCCCAGCGAGAAGAACACCTGGGCCGCTGCTGCGACCCACACCTGAGACACGGGGAGCCGACGACGACTCGAGCTCATCATTCATTGTGCGCGGCCAGGAGAGAGACACCCAAAGAGACCCCCGGCACGAGTCTCGGTTGGCACCAGAGCCCTGGGGTGGTCACCCAAGTGACACCGGCGAAGGCGGAGATGGTTGTTTGTGATGGTCGTGGTGGTGACGGAGATGATGTTTGAGCGCTCCATCACCGGAGGATAATTATATTTTCTAGACAGGTGTTCAGATTAAGTTGGGACCGGCGCTTCCCTCTGGTGGGAGGTGACGGAGGGGGGGGGGGGCTCTATCCCCCCTTCCCCCCTCCCCTACCTCTGGGGCATGAATTAGCGGGGGGCAATTAACTCTGCGCGCGCGAGCCTCATCACGCCGCGATGCATCATGGGAATCACACGAGTTCACACGTGCGGTGACAAAGCCACGACTTACATAGTCACCGTCGTTACTCACCCCCACTCACCATCACCTCACCAGCTCATCCTCACCAGCTCACCCTCACCTCACTAGCTCACCTTCACCTCACCAGCTCACCCCCACTCACCATCACCTCACCATCTCACCCCCACTCACCATCACCTCACCAGCTCACCCCCACTCACCATCACCTCACCATCTCACCCCCACTCACCATCACCTCACCATTACCTCACCAGCTCACCCCCACTCACCATCACCTCACCAGCTAACCCCCACTCACCATCACCTCACCAGTTCACCCCCACTCACCATCACCTCACCAGCTCACCCCCACTCACCATCACCTCACCATCTCACCCCCACTCACCATCACCTCACCATCACCTCACCAGCTCACCCCCACTCACCATCACCTCACCAGCTCACCCCCACTCACCATCACCTCACCAGCTCACCCCCACTCACCATCACCTCACCAGCTCACCCCCACTCACCATCACCTCACCAGCTCACCCCCACTCACTATCACCTCACCAGCTCACCCTCATGCACCATCACCTCACCAGCTCACCCTCATGCACCATCACCTCACCAGCTCACCCTCATGCACCATCACCTCACCAGCTCACCCCCACTCACCATCACCTCACCAGCTCACCCTCATGCACCATCACCTCACCAGCTCACCCCCACTCACCATCACCTCACCAGCTCACCCTCATGCACCATCACCTCACCAGCTCACCCCCACTCACTATCACCTCACCAGCTCACCCCCACTCACCATCACCTCACCAGCTCACCCCCACTCACCATCACCTCACCAGCTCACCCCCACGCACCCTCACCTCACCAGCTCACCCCCACTCACCATCACCTCACCAGCTCACCCCCACGCACCCTCACCTCACCAGCTCATCCTCACCTCACCAGCTCACACCCACTCACCATCACCTCACAAACTCACCCCCACTTACTATCACCTCACCAGCTCACACCCACTCATCCTCACCTCACCAGCTCACACCCACTCACCATCGCCTCACCAGCTCACCCCCACTCACCATCACCTCACCAGCTCACCTCCACTCACCATCGCCTCACCAGCTCACCCCCACTCACCAGCTCACTCTCACACACCATCGCCTCGCCAGCTCACCCTCACACACCATCGCCTCACCAGCTCATCATCACCCACCCATCCTCACCCACCCATCATCACCCACCCATCATCACCCACCCATCATCACCCATCATCACCCACCCATCCTCACCCACCCATCATCACCCACCCATCATCACCCACCCATCCTCACCCACCCATCCTCACCCACCCATCATCACCCACCCATCATCACCCACCCATCCTCACCCACCCATCATCACTCACTCATCATCATCACCCATCATCACCCACCCATCATCACCCACCCATCATCACCCACCCATCCTCACCCACCCATCCTCACCCACCCATCCTCACCCACCCATCATCACCCACTCATCATCACCCACCCATCATCACCCACCCATCATCACCCACCCATCATCACCCACCCATCCTCACCCACCCATCCTCACCCACCCATCCTCACCCACCCATCATCACCCACCCATCATCACCCACCCATCATCACCCACCCATCCTCACCCACCCATCCTCACCCACCCATCATCACCCACCCATCATCACCCACCCATCATCACCCACCCATCCTCACCCACCCATCCTCACCCACCCATCCTCACCCACCCATCATCACCCACCCATCATCACCCACCCATCATCACCCACCCATCCTCACCCACCCATCCTCACCCACCCATCCTCACCCACCCATCATCACCCACCCATCATCACCCACCCATCCTCACCCACCATCATCACCCACCCATCATCACCCACCCATCCTCACCCACCCATCCTCACCCACCCATCCTCACCCACCCATCATCACCCACCCATCATCACCCACCCATCCTCACCCACCATCATCACTCACTCATCATCATCACCCATCATCACCCACCCATCATCACCCACCCATCATCACCCACCCATCCTCACCCACCCATCATCACCCACCCATCATCACCCACCCATCCTCACCCACCCATCATCACCCACTCATTATCACCCACCCATCATCTACACAACCCGGGTCCCAACATTAGACCCCGATAGGGGACCCCCGTCAGCCGCCCCCTCGCGGCCCCCACTCCACGCACCTCGCTGTCGAGGAGGCGGTCCCAGTTGGGGGTGAGGTAGAAGCGCACCCCGCGCCACGCGCCGGGCAGGGTGGCCCCGCGCACCAGCAGCACGCCCAGCACCAGGTAGGGGAACGTGGCGGTGAACCACACCACCTGAAGCCCACACGCAGCGCTCAGCCACGCTCCACCACGCTCCACCACGCCGCGCTCCACCACGCCGCGCTCCACCACGCCACGCTCCACCACGCCGCGCTCCACCACGCCACGCTCCACCACGCCACGCTCCACCACGCCACGCTCCACCACGCCACGCTCCACCACGCCGTACTCCACCACGCTCCACCACGCCACGCTCCACCACGCCGTACTCCACCACGCTCCACCACGCCACGCTCCACCACGCCGCGCTCCACCACGCCGCGCTCAGCCACTCCATTCCCCCCAGAATTGACAAACAGCTATGTCCCCACTGTCTACGCTCACTCCCGATCTGCACAACAACCCCCATCTCCACCACTTACCAACAGATGGAGATTGGGGCGAGAGGGGAGGGGGGTCCCCTTACGTCTCAAGACCCCCCCCAAGCGCCCCCGTAGCCCCCCCCCCCCCCAGGGACTCGCCTTGCCGGACGTGCGCACCCCCCTCCACAGGGAGAAGTAGACGGCGAGGAAGACGAGCGCGACGCACGCCACGAGCGGCCAACGCAGCCAGCCCACGTCCTCCAGCCCCCACGCGTTGTGCAGGCCCAGCACGTGCCGCCTGCAAGGTGGTGGTGGTGGTGGTGGGGGTGGTGGTGGTGGTGGTGGGGGTGGTGGTGGTGGCCGTGGTGGGGGTGGTGGTGGCGGTGGTGGTGGTGGGGGTGGTGGTGGCCGTGGTGATGGTGGTGGGGGTGGTGGTGGTGGTGGCCGTGGTGGTGGTGGTGGTGGTGGTAGTGGTGGTGGTGGTGATGTGGGTGGTGGTGGTGGTGATGTGGGTGGTGGTGGTGGGGGGGGGGGTCGTGGTGGTGGTGGTGGGGGTGATGGTGGTGGTGGTGATGTGGGTGGTGGTGGTGGCCGTGGTGGTGGTGGTGGCGGTGGTGGTGGCCGTGGTGGTGGGGGTGGTGGTGGTGGAGGTGGTGGTGGCCGTGGTGGGGGTGGTCGTGATGGTGGTGGTGGCCGTGGTAATGGTGGTAGAGTGTGGCGCGTGGAAGAGGGAGCGGTGGCACGGTGATTAGCGCCCTCCGCTACGAACCCGGTCACCCGAGTTCAATTTCCGCTCACGGCCAACACCGGCGACAGTGAATATGCGAATAGGTCGCTGGTGCGATGTTTAAATATTACACGGGTCTACACAGTTTTTGTCTATCACATCAGGTTTTTGAGATATCAAATATTGCATTTTCAAAAAAAACTGCAGAAAAAAATTAAATAAATGTGGATATCTACATAAAATTATATTATAAACACACTATCCTAAAAATACAGCACCATATACTAAAGCAGTCACTGACTCGCAACAACTTGCAATCATAAGTGACAGAGTTAATTTCGGGTAAAATCAATGAAAATGGGGTATGCCGATAGCATAAAAACGAGATGTGATAGAGCAAATCTGAGATCAGATTTGGAATCAGCACCCTGAAATTAGTCTAAAACAGCTGCAAAAGTCCAGGCCAGAAAAATATGTTTTTGTTGTTGTTGACCAGTGTTATCAGTCGGGATATACGATGGACTTCTTTCGCACCGTACGTAGCCAAGCGTGCTAATCGGAGGCGTAGTGTTGGTCACCCAACCCTCGTGCGCGGCACCGGCCTTCGTAGGTGCTGCTCAACAGTCTGATAGGGCTACACGGGGGATCGTTGTCTTGGAAGGGATGTGATGATGTTGGTGATGGTAGTCGTAGCGATGATGCGTTCCACGCATGGTCCGCTGCTGTGCATTGAAAAATGTTGATACTCCTAACTGATACTCCTGCTGTTATGGAGGGACTCATGCTGCCAGCTATGGCTGCAAAGTTTGGTCGTACATGTTATGTGTATATCGTTTATTGTTACATTTGAATCACAGTTCCTATGATCACTGTTACATTGTTTTTATCGCTTTATTTCGGTGAGTTCGTAAACGTTTTGGTTTACCCATATTTGTTTGTTGTAGTACAGAGTTAGACTGTTAACTGTAATCAAAATTGTCTTATGCTTGTTATTGTTTGACTTGCATCCCACTGGGATGTTTGTACACAGCGTTGAAACGCAGTGTTTTTTCTGGAAGACTTTGATGTTTTTCCCTGGATTTTTCTGTTGCGTGAAGTCACTTTAAGATGTTTCTTGTTCATGTTTTTGCTTGTTGCGCTTGCACCCGAGTCAAGAGCCACATGTCCCACGCGTTCTGTGGCCCCCCGCACGTCCCGCCCGCCCCTGTCCCACACGTGACTCCGGTATCACCCTGTCTGCCCCCCCCCGCCCCCCCCCCCACACCCCCGCCCCCCCCCACACCCCCACCGACGCAGCTCACGTGTAGAACTCCTCGGCGGGCGATCGCGAGTGCGCCCCCCACGTGGAGTTGTCGCGCAGGAAGTAGTCGGAGCAGTGGGGAGTGTTCCAGGCGTTGTCGCAGTGCGCCCAGGGCAGCTCCGCGGTGAGGCTCGAGTAGAGGTAGAACAGCGCCCAGGCGATCACCGTGTTGTAGTAGAAGGCGACGTAGAGCGACATCACGCAGATCGCGTAGCCCACGCCTGGCGCCGGGGGGTTGCGGGTCGGATCCCGGGTGTTAGGGGGGCGGGGGGGGGTACAGCAGAGAGCGACACGTGCACACGGGCACCTCGAGATACGAGCACATGGGTATAGAGGCACACCTGTTGACAAACACACCTGTATATATACAGCTGCGCACAGACACACCTGTATACAGATACAGGGGCCGTCCAAAAATGACGTCACGCGATTTTTGACGATTTTTGACCCCCCTCCCCCTTCGTCACACGGCGTCACAAAAAGTCAGACCCCCCCCCCCTCAAATATGACGTCACAAAGCTTCCCCCCCCCAAAATAAAACATGCTTCAAATCTCTTTAAACTATTGTCATTGTAGTGCGTATTTAATATGGCGCTGCACTCTGATGTTGTAAGAGAAAACATTTATTAAAACGTCTATTTAATTAAGTAGAACGTGTTGTCTGTATTTATTAAAAGTTGCGCATTTTGATGTGACGTCACATTTCTCAACCCCCACCCCCCCGTCACACATCGTCACAAATGTCTGACCCCCCCCCATATGCATGACGTCATTTATGGACGACCCCACACCTGAAAATGGGCATATGTGTACTGTACCTATATACCGGCCCGCGTGTATACCAGCACCCCCATATGTGTGCACACCTATATGACGGGCGTACCTGTATACGACCACGCCTGTGCACTACGCTGCCGCTGTGTGCCCGAATGTCCTGACACCCCGCTCCCCGCCCGTGTCCCCGTACCTTTGAAGAGGGGGCAGATCTTGCTCCACAGCGAGATGGCTCCCGTTCGGTGGAACTGCCCCAGCGCCAGCTCCATGTAGAAGAGAGGGACCCCCCCAAACACAACCATCACCATGTAGGGGAAGAGGAAGGCTCCTGGGGGAGGGGGGGTGGCGCGGGGAGGGGGGCACATCCATCCGGGACCCCCGTGGTAGCCGGGTTAGCCGAGGGGGAGATTGGAGACCGGGCAGCTGCGTCTGGCCGGAGAGGCAATGCGACACGTGTGTACGCTGTGTGTACGCAGAGCACTCCCGCAGCATCTGGGGGGCTGAAGTGAGCTGAACCCTGACCCCCCCCCCTTCCCCTACTGAAGCTTCAGCCCCCCCACCCCCCCAAGTTCTAAATTCGCAGAGTCAAAAGCACGCGATCCCTGGCGCGGTGTTTCACATGAGCGGCAGCATCGCGGGACCCGCTGTCGCCGTTCACGTTTGCTCCGAGTTGGTTTAACGCGGAGCAGGCCCCCACCCCTACACCGCCTCTCCTGAGTTCGCGTATGAGCCCCCCGCCACCGCCCCCCCCCCCAGCTTGTAAACCAGGTAACGATGCAGTCCCGCGGCGCAGATGAGAAAGTCTCACTCACACTCTCACACACACTCACACACACAACAACAACCGTGGTGACGTCACACACACTCACTCACACACACTCACTCACACACTCACTCACACTCACTCTCACACACTCACTCACACTCACACACTCACTCACTCACACACTCACTCACACACACTCACACACTCACACACACACTCACACACTCACACACTCACTCACACTCACACACTCACTCACACTCACACACTCACACACTCACACACACACTCACACACACTCACACTCATTCACACTCACTCACTCACACACTCACTCACACTCACACACTCACACACTCACACACTCACACACACTCACACTCATTCACACACTCACTCACTCACTCACACACTCACTCACTCACACACTCACTCACATACTCACACACACTAACACACTCACTCACACTCTCACACTCATTCACTCTCACGCACTCACACTCTTACACTCACTCACACTCACACACTCTCACACTCCCACTCACACTCTCACACTCTCCCCCACTCACACTCATTCACTCTCACGCACTCACACTCTCACACTTTCACACTCATTCACATACTCACTCACACACTCACACACACTCACACACACTCACACATACTCACTCACACACACTCACACACTCACTCACTCACACACTCACACACACACACTCACACACACACACATACTCACACACACTAACACACTCATTCACACACTCACTCACTCACACACTCACTCACTCACACACTCACTCACATACTCACACACACTAACACACTCACTCACACTCTCACACTCACTCACTCTCACGCACTCACACTCTTACACTCACTCACACTCACACACTCTCACACTCCCACTCACTCACTCTCCCCCACTCACACTCATTCACTCTCACGCACTCACACTCTCACACTTTCACACTCATTCACACACTCACACACACACTCACATACACTCACACACACTCACACACACTCACTCACACACTAACACACACACTCACACACTAACACACACACTCACACACTCGTGTCGTGGTGATGCGTGCACTCACACACACACTCTTTGTCGGTGGCGATCGGCGGTTCAACCTCGCGTGGGCCACCGTTAGGTACACTCGGCCCTAAACGAGTAGCCCGACACGCCTCGTGGACATTACGGGGTTGGGGAAGACAAAGGCGGACGCGCGCGCCGCACGCCAAACGCGGTCACGTGCTCCCGGAGTCGACGACTCGTGGCGATTCCAAGTGCCAGTGCCCCCCTCGCCCTTGTGCCCCCCCCCCTACTCGTCAGTCGTCCCGCGTCATGTTCATTAGCCCGGACACTCAATGATCCCCAGAAAGGTTAAGAACACGACGGTCTGCTGTCAGGGCGACCTGTGTGTGTGTTTGTGTTAGTGTGTGTGTGTGTTTGTGTGTGTGTGTTTGTGTGTGTGTGTGTTTGTGTGTGTGTGTGTTTGTGTGTGTGTGTTTGTGTGTGTGTGTTTGTGTGTGTGTGTTTGTGTGTGTTTGTGTGTGTGTTTGTGTGTGTGTGTGTGTTTTGTGTGTTTGTGTGTGTTTGTGTGTGTGTGTTTGTGTGTGTGTTTTGTGTGTGTGTTTGTGTGTGTTTGTGTTTGTGTGTGTGTGTTTGTGTGTTTGTGTGTGTGTGTTTGTGTGTGTGTGTTTGTGTGTGTGTGTTTGTGTGTGTGTGTTTGTGTGTGTGTGTTTGTGTGTGTGTGTGTTTGTGTGTGTGTGTTTGTGTGTGTGTTTGTGTGTGTGTGTGTTTGTGTGTGTGTTTGTTTGTGTGTGTGTTTGTGTGTGTTAGTGTGTGTGTTTGTGTGTGTGTTTGTGTGTGTGTGTGTGTTTGTGTGTGTGTTTGTGTGTGTTTGTTTGTGTGTTTGTTTGTGTGTTTGTGTGTGTGTTGTGTGTGTGTTTGTGTGTGATTGTGTGTGTGTGTGTTTGTGTGTGTGTTTGTGTGTGTGTGTGTTTGTGTGTGTGTGTGTTTGGGTGTGTTTGTGTGTGTGTTTGTGTGTGTGCGTGTTTGTGTGTGTGTGTGTGTGTTTGTTTGTGTGTTTGTGTTTGTGTGTTTGGTGTGTGTTTGTGTGTGTGTGTTTGTTGTGTGTGTGTTTGTGTGTGTGTTTGTGTGTGTGTTTGTTGTGTGTGTTTGTGTGTGTGTTTGTGTGTGTGTGTTGTGTGTTTGTGTGTGTGTGTTGTGTGTGTGTTTGTGTGTGTGTTTGTGTGTGTGTTTGTGTGTGTTTGTGTGTGTGTTTGTGTGTGTTTGTGTGTGTGTGTGTTTGTGTGTGTGTTTGTGTGTGTGTGTTTGTGTGTGTGTGTTTGTGTGTGTGTGTTAAACTTATTTCGCACCGCTCGCAGCCAACCGTGCTGGGTTACATCGAGACATTTAAAGCGTACAGAGTTTTAACATTTTACATTTAACAAAGTTTAGATAATGTAGCAACAATTTAACATAACAATGTTGAATGACGCTCAAGTAAAGACGGCAGCGTGCGCACACACACTGCACATACACATCGTACACACAGCGTACACACAGCGTACACACAGCGCACACACAGCGCACACACAGCGTACACACAGCGTACACACAGCACACACAGCACACACACAGCACACACACAGCGTACACACAGCATACACACAGCACACACACATCGTACACACACAGCACACACACAGCGTACACACAGCATACACACAGCATACACACAGCATACACACAGCACACGGGTACCCGTTTGCGACCCTGGGTACGGGTAGACTGTGAGTCACTGGTGAGTAACTGTTTGTCATTCATTTCCCAACGTCTTGTCTCTTCTCACAATTCAAGTTCCGAGAATCAACCCACCCGCGCCTGCAACATGGCTTCATCCCAGAGGTCGCAATCGCAATCAGGTACCCGGCCGTACCCGTACCCTACCCGGCCGGGTACGGCTAGGGTACGGGTACGGCCGGGTACGGGTACCCGTTTGCGACCCTGGTGCGGCCGGGTACGGGTAAGGAATCAAAACCCGTTTGCGACCTCTGGTTCGTAGCGTAGCACGCTAACCACTGCGCCACCGCTCCCCATAACACGAAGATCCCCCGTGTAGCCTGTAGCAGACTGTTGGGGCAAGTGCTTTTAGCGAGCAGCAAGGCCGGAACGGCACACGAAGGGGTGGGTGGCCAGCACCACGCCTGGCCGCCTTTGTCTCCCTAGTGGCGATATTTACACATCGTACTAGGCAATAATTTGAGACTGAGTCGACCTACGGGAGGCCCAGGACCGGTTCAGATAGTCGTCACTGGTGTTGGCCGTGAGCGGGAATCGAACTCGGTGCGTCAGGTTCGTAGCCCAGCGCGCTAACCGCTACACCACCGCTCCCCATAACACACACAGACACATACAGATACACACACACACACAGATGCACACACAGACATACACATACACAGACACACACAGACACGCATTCACACACATACAGACACACACACACAGATGCACATACACAGACACACACATGCACACACACACAGACACACACACAGACACACACAGATGCACATACACAGACACACACATGCACACACATACAGACACACACACAGATGCACATTTACAGACACACGCATACACACATATACACACAGACACACACAGATGCACATACAAAGACACACGCATACACACACACAGACATACACGCACACACAGACGCACACGCACGCACACACACATACACACAGACACACACGCACACACAGACGCACACGCACGCACACACACACGCACACACACAGACACACAGACACACGCACGCACGCACGCAGACACACACAGTCACGCACGCACGCACACAGACACGTGTTCCGGAGCGCACCTCCACCGTTCTGGTAGCACACGTAAGGGAACCGCCACACGTTGCCCAGGTCCACGGCGAAGCCGACGACGGACAGCAGGAAGTCCACCTTCCTCCCCCACGTGTCTCGCGGAGCTTCCCCAGCGCTGCCCGGCGGCGCCGCGGGGTCGCGACTCAGCGCGGCACCTCGAGACTCGAGAAGAAGAGCGTCGGATACGGCGGGCGGTGCTGCTGCTGCTGATGATGGCGATGGCGGTGGCGGTGCTTGCGTGTCTCTGAGCAGTATGAGCTCGGCGTTCCCCGAAGAGGAGCCCCGTGCGGGGGGGTTCTGTCCCGGTGAGTAGCGAGGGGCGAAGCCATTGGCCCTGCTGGTGGCGGCGTGAGAGGGGATCATGGCTCCTGCGGCGCGGCGCGCACCTGAGCCCGGCTGGGAGCCGCGGCACGGGGGACACCTCGGAGTGGGGGGGGGGGGGAGCGAGGGGGTAAGGGGAGGGAGGGGGCGGGGTGGTGAAGGGGGAGTGAGATTGAGAGAGAGGCGGGAGAGGGGGGGGGGTAAAGAGAGCGGGGGTGATGCTGGGAGGTGGGGGAGATGGGTATGGGAGGGACGAAAAGAGGGGGGGGGGGAAGTTTGGTGATGGGAGGGGGTGGAGGGGAAGGATGAGATGGGGAGGGTCGGGGGGGGGCGAGGAGATGGGAGGGAAGAGTGAGAGTTGGGGGAGCTGGAAGATGTGGTGGGGGGGGGGGGGTAGAGGGGAGGGGGGGAGGTGGTGTCTGGAGTTGGTGCTGGGTGAGCCTCCCCGCTGTGCTGGAGAGCAGCCCGCGGAAGAGATATCACAGAACTACTTCCGAGATCGCTTCAAGTGCCCTCTGTTCTCGGCACACGATGGGGCGCTGCGCTCGCTCACACGTCCCGCTCGAGATGAACATCGGCGCGCGGCAATCAACCCGAGCTTTTTCATTCTCAGAACCGAGAAATTTGCCGATTTAAACGGTAACCTCTTGGAATGCGCGCGTGCGCGCGCGCGTTGCATGTGTGCGCGCGTGTGTGCGCGCGCGTATGTGTGTGCGCGTGTGTGTGCGTGTGTGTGTGCGCGTGTGTGTGTGTGCGCGCGCGTGTGTGTGTGTGTGCGTGTGTGTGCGCGTGTGTGTGTGTGTGCGCGCGCGTGTGTGTGTGTGTGCGTGTGTGTGCGCGTGTGTGTGTGCGTGCGCGCGTGTGTGTGCGCGCGTGCGTGTGTGTGTGTGTGCGCGTGTGTGTGTGTGTTGTGTGTGCGGTCATTGCACACTCGAGCTGAGACCATCAACTTGCTGAACTTGAGAACACGGTTTAATCGCAGGTGACGCAAACTCAGAACGCAGCCCGGATTCGAACCCAGCGCGCTCAGCGGCGCCGGCTCGGCGGACGAAGGCGAGGAGGTGCACTGACGGCCGCTTGGTACCTGCGACAAGGAAGGTCAACAAGTCAACGTGAGCCAGTGGCGGAAACTCCACGTTCCGATGGCAGCAGTCGCCTTTGGTGTTTCTCACAAAGTGGTACTCGTTTTATCGACCCCCCGGAGGAACGGTGGGCTGAGTGAATCCCCCAATCTGAATAAAAGCTCGCGGCCTCCCGATTGCGCGCCCGCTGAGCCACGCGGCCCGCTGAAAACCTGGAACCCGGCCACAGAATATATGAAATCATCGCTGCGCAGATTCCGATCGGGAGGTTCCATCGTTCGCCATGACATCAGCGGTCTCCTCTTCCGTCGGAGCGGATCGCTTATTGCGAGTTAGCGCCAATTAACTCGCTGAGTAGCGCCGAGTAAGATAACGACGCGTGGGGAGGTGGTGAGTGGCGGGGGGGGTGAGCGAAGCTGCTGAGTGGGGGAGCTGGGGCTGATTTTGTCAGCGTGGTGCTGGACACAAAAGTGCGCTGTGCTGTTCAATTTCACTCCGGGGGTGGTGGGGGGTGAGGGGTGGGGGCGTTTGGAACGTGCCCATCTTCGGTGTCACTCGGTTTGTTGTCACCCAGAGGTGGGGTGTTGACGGGCAGCTTGTCGCGGTGCGCTGCCAGGGTGCTGATTGATGGTGGTGACGGTGAGTAGGAGGTTGGTGGCGGTGGTGGTGAGTGGAGTGTGAGTGTGAGTGGAGTGTGAGTGGATTGTGAGTATGAGTGGAGTGTGAATATGAGTGGAGTGTGAGTGGAGTGTGAGTGTGAGTGGAGTGTGAATATGAGTGGAGTGTGAGTGGAGTGTGAGTGTGAGTGGAGTGTGAATATGAGTGGAGTGTGAGTGGAGTGTGAGTGGAGTGTGAATATGAGTGGAGTGTGAGTGGAGTGTGAGTGGAGTGTGAATATGAGTGGAGTGTGAGTGGAGTGTGAGTGGAGTGTGAATATGAGTGGAGTGTGTGTGGAGTATGAGTGTGAATATGAGTGCAGTGTGAGTGGAGTGTGAGTGGAGTGTGAGTGTGGGTGTGAGTGGAGTGGAGTGTGAGTGGAGTGTGAATATGAGAGGAGTGTGAGTGGAGTGTGAGTAGAGTGTGAGTGGTGTGCGAGTGTGAGTGGAGTGCGAGTGGAGTGTGAATATGAGTGGAGTGTGAGTGGAGTGTGAGTGGAGTGGAATGTGCGTGGAGTGTGAGTGGAGTTTTCGTGGAGTGTGAGTGGAGTGTGAATATGAGTGGAGTGTGATTGGCGTGTGAGTGTATGAGTGGAGTGTGAGTGGAGTGTGAGTGGAGTGTGAGTGGAGTTTTCGTGGAGTGTGAGTGGAGTGTGAATGGAGTGTAAGTGGAGTGTGAGTGGAGTGTGAATATGAGTGGAGTGTGAGTGGTGTGTGAGTGGAGTGTGAATATGAGTGCAGTGTGAGTGGAGTGTGAATGGAGTGTGAATATGAGTGGAGTGTGAGTGGAGTATGAGTGGAGTGGGAGTGGATAGATTAATATGTTTTTCCATTACGAAAACAAAACAAATAAAGTAGAGCAGCTATGGAGCCAATTTAAATCATACCATGCGAAAACATTTCACTGTGACGATATCCTGGGAGTGTTGATGATAACGATGATATACGATAATGGTGGTAGTGTTTATTAGTGGAGGTGGTGGGGTTCGAGATTGGCTGATGCGGTACAGGAGGACGTGGAGCTGAGTGGGACTTGCCGATGACCGGTACCAGCGGTGTCAAGATCGGCCTCTGTGGAGGACGCTGCTGCTGCTGGGCAATTGGAGGCAGTCGCCCTCCAGCAACAACGGAGGGCAGAGGAACGACGTTCACAACAACGAGCGTGCGCCGGTGGATAAAACGCCGCGAGTTGGCACAGTAGGGGCGCGGTGGCGAGATGCAAACTACCTCGCCTGGTACACCAGGAGGTGGTTGACGCCTGTATATTTGGAGTTTGCATGTTCTCCCCATGGTCGCATTGATTTTTCTCTGAGTCTTCCACATTTGTGGCTACTATAAATGCACACGCGATAGGCCACTTCGTTGAGCTATCATTTGTAGCCAGGTCGCTTCCGAAAACAAAGCTACATCGCTCAGTGAGGCCTTTCCTGGTGAATGAGAAATTATTTTAGTTTAAATGGGGAGCAGAGGTGGTACATCCGACAGTCATCTCAGTCAGTCGACCTATGGCACCTGGGTCTGTCGCGGTGGTAACCTCAGAGTGCACCTCGCCTGCTCTCTCTCTCTCCCTCATCCCCTCGCCCTCCTCGTTCTCCGTGGCCCCCCTTTGCTCTTCGCGGGGGGGGGGGGGCGCTCGGGAGAGTCCGGGGATCCCCCACCTACCCCCCCCCCCCCCACTTCCCGCGTGCGTGACAATCCCCGCGGAGGGGACATTCATCTCGGAGCGCCGGAGACGCGAGCTGATAACGCGGCGGGGCCGGGGGCCGCGCATCCCTCGCCAAGGAAAATACGGAGGCCCCGGGGAACGGCGGCAGGAAGGCCGAGGGGGGGGGGGTGGAAATAGGGGGGGGGGGTCTACATGCGAGGGAGCGGGAGCTCTTGGCTTGGAGCACGGAACGAGGTGGCGGCCGGAAGACATCGTCGGTGGCGTCTCACTCAGCGCTGTGGAGGGAGCGGCGCGGGTTGCTGGATGAGCGCGCGGGCGGTCGCGACCCTCTCCCTCGCCGTGGGCCTCGAGGGAGGTGCCGTGCCCTGCCCTGGCGCGCCAGGAGAAGGCGGCGCAGCACGTGTGCCCTGGTCGCCGTCTGGTTTCCCGCCACGTGGGTAATACATTCGACTCGTCGTTAATTGGGACCGAAAACATCTTTCGAATGAAACCTCAAATGCGGCAGCAGCGGCAGCAGCAGCGGGGTCCTCCTGAACAATAGTGCGGCTCTCGTTTATTAATAAATGAAACATTCTTATTAATAAGACGTCATTATTATTCCAGAGGGAGTGGGGGGGGGGGTCACAGGATCTGGGATGCAGCCAGGGTGTCCGTATCAGCGCAGACCCCTGGCTGAGCCCTGAAGTTCACGACCGAACCGGGTGGAGGGGAAGGGCTGGAGGAGAGGCGACAGAGCGCCCGCTCCGTCCACTGTCCCGATTCGTCTTCAATCCGCTCTGAGCTGTGCTCGAGTTGACCGACGAGAGGGCGAGCCAGAGTTCGAATCGCGGCGATGAGGCCGCTTTTTCAAGTGGGGGTGAGTTGATGGCCCCGGTAGCCACCGATTGACACACAGAACCAGAATGTTCGACGTAGAGACGCATACAGAGATTCTAAATTTGAAGCTTTCGTGACTGCAAGGATTCATACTCTTAGGTTGTTTCGGTAAAGTCACGTAGGTAAAAAATAAATAAATAATAAACATATTCATAATAAAACTAATAGAAATAATAATAGAAATAAAATAAGAAATCACGACGTTTCGGAGGCAACACAAGCTTCCTTCATCAGGTGTAAAAAGGCACATCAAAATAACGGGAGTAATTTTTTATTTGTATAATTTATTTATTTTTACCTACGTTACTTTACCGAAAAAAACTAAGAAACGTCGTGATTTATTATTTTATTTATATTGCTTTAATTATGTATTTTATTATTTATTTATTTCCCCCTACGTGACTTTACCGACAAAACCTAAGAGTACGCATACGTAGACTTACAGAAGAGAGCCGTGGACTCGCACGGACAATCGTCGACTCGCTCAGTGAGCCGCAGACTTAGAGACCCACAGACTCGCATGGACTGAGTGGTGATGATTCGGGGTCGTCGGGTGAAGCGAACTGACGGTCTCAGGCCGGCCCCCAAGGGCAGCGCGTAATGCCCAGCCATCACGGCGCATGTGGCGGTTCATGCAACGTCTTGCTCAAGTCCAACTCAACATAATAAAACATCTTCGCTTTGAGAGAATGGAACGAGTATCAACGGCCAACACAGGTGACGGTGATCTGAACCGGTACTAGGCCTCCGCTAGGTCGACTCAGCCTCAAACGAGAC